CCTTTTATCATGAAATCATGTCACTTTGCACTGCCAGCAAAGGACCAGTCTAAGCCACACCCGGACCACTGCAGAATTAGGTCCTCCAGCCTTCCTGTTTCTTAGAGAAAAAAAGAAGGACGCAGATATTGATGTTCTAGCTAATAAAGACAGCTATTCAGTATGCTATATATGAAAGCGTTTTTAGACACATTTATATACTCTGTACTCAAATACACTGTAACATGACTCCTGCATGCAATACTTTCAAAAACAAACCTTTTGTTGTTACAGAATTTACATCAACCTCTTGTAGCTAAATGGTGAAAGCACCAGTTCTGTACTTAAGGCAATGAAAATCAGCTTCCCCAGGCAATATTCTATCAGTGAAGCCAAACAAACTAAAAAGAACCTTTTGGATAATGTTCTCGTAACATTTTGACAGACTAGAACACAGCACAGGAAAAGCAGGAAAATAAACATGTAAACCTTTTTCATTTTATATAGAAAAACATTTAATTAACTTTGGTTAAGAGGTCATTCAGTAACAACAGGACTGAATATAAGCTGACAAAATGCATCTGAAAGGAAATCTTATATAGCTATCACTTTAAAAAAATTCAACAACTTTTCACTCAATCCTTAAGTAATGAAAAATATTTTGATTGCAAACATACTATTCATTATTAAAGACTAGTATTAAAAACCCACTCCAATACTTTCAAGGTTGGTCATTTACCTTAGTTTCAAAACAAGACTGACCTGGACAGAAATTCTGCTGTGTCTGAGAAGTCAGTTTTTCTTGTACAGCGCGCTTTTCAAAATGCCCTGCAGTTGCACTCTGATGTAGGCCTGGTGGTCTGGTGGCAGATCCCAATTCTCCAGGTTCAGAAAACTTCAGATAAAACGGTGACTCCAGATCACTGAAAGCAAGGTTTATAACTCCATGCCTCCCACTGCCATAGTCACTGAACATAGATTCGTCCTCGGTACTCTGTGCTGGTAATGGGAGAATCCGATGATGCAGCTGCGGGCTAGGCAGTCTCGAAGATAACGGAGAAGGAATAGGTGACATTTGTTTGTGTGTATTAGATAGCGGGTATGAATTACTAAAAACATTACTCACTGCTACTAACGAGGGTGAATGCAGCCTCTTCTCTTCCAGTTTAAGATTATTACTTGCCTGAGAAGTATCAGGACTTTCATTTACAGGCAGGTTTAAAAATAAATGCTTGCTGCTTCCCTGCAATACTGTGGTTCTTTTCTCAAATATTGAGCCTGGCAGGTTTCTGTCTATTCTCGTAATTTGTTGCAGTCTCTTCCATTCTGCAGCTTCATCTAAACTGTCACTCCGTATAACTTTCAGAAGAGCTTTATTAACTGCTCCCACAAGGTTGCATGACTCATCAGTAATGTGCACTCCCTCCGCTTTGTACTGCAAACCAGAGCTGTCTTGCTCCTTTTCCTGCAGCACAGTTTTAGAGTCTCCATTAGCTTCATCTAAAGAGTATACATCTGCTGTGAGAACAGGAGAAATCGTTTCTATATCTCTGTAAAACTCAGGTAAAGACTCTGCAGGGGGTTTGGCAACTTTCCTAATAGAAGCTTCTAAATCCTGTACTTCAGCAACAACTGAGACTCCTGGTTTCTCCTTGCATACTGGCTCAGTATACTTGCTAGTTTGAAAGCTTTTAGCAGCTGCAGATTTATTTAGTGTCTCAAGTTTGTTAGACAGACTGTGCTGAGATGATTTTACCAAAGTGATACTCTGTTGTACCTTCATAACTTCAGGAATGCATTCTCCATTATCCGCTAGTTCAACTGTGACCATGTCAGTGTTGTCTTTTGAGCTAGAACTCGGTAAGTCAGCACCCCATTTCACAGCTTTGTTGCTCTGAAGAAAATAACCCCCTTCTATCCACTTCTTTGGCCGTATACTATTGTCTACTGGTAAATCATCCTTACCTTTTACTGTTAGCCAACTAGAGGCAGAAAAGGAACTGGGAAAATTCCTGCTAGGAAATCTTGTGGGGAGCATGGTCTTCTTTTTCAGTTGCAAGTCTTGCACACTCAGTACAGAAAGATGTTGTTCAGGTATCTTTTTTCGCCCTTTCCGATGTTTGAACTCCTCAGAGCTCTCTTTCCTTCTATATTTTCTCATTTTTTTGTGATTCAAACTGTCTCTATTTGTGGAATCCAGAGAGAACTGCTGATGTGTAAAACCAGAGTAATCTTGACCTTTAAGTTTTGGGGCTCCAGAAACATCTTGATGCTTTCTCTCCTGATGTCCTGTGTTAAGGTCCAGAACATGATGTGATCTCGACAGACAGGATAACAATTTTTCCTTTTCAGTAGTGAGCTTGTACAGCTCAATGAGAATGTCTTTCGTTGTAGTTTGCTTGAAAATAATATCTCCAAAGTTTTCATATGGCTGTTCTCCCAGCTCTATCTGTAACCTCTCCCTTACTTGATAGCAGCTACAGAAACGTTTACTGGTTTTATCCAGAGTTACACAGCCTCTGTAAGTAAATCCTCTGACTTTTCCCTCTGGAAGATAGAAGCTGACGTAACAAAGCTCCATAATGGGTTTGTGCAAGTGAAGGATAGTATGCGTTCCTTCCATTATGCTTGCCAAATTAGTCATTCATTTAAATTATGTGCTAAGTGTTTCAAAGCTTGCATAACATAGCCTGTGAGGCAGGGACTGGACGGAAGGCATCTGACTAATCTTCAACAATAATATTGTCTGCTGGAAAAAAATAAATAGAGGCCTGTCAGACTCAATTATGGCAAACTTAACATGACAAATAACAAGCCTGCAGAAGCACAATCTTCTCTCAGTATTTTTTGATACAAATCTTTTACCTTGAAAAATCTGACACAAGATCTAACATTGCTAATACTCATAGTTGGAGTCATAATCATTCACCCATACATCATCCCTCCGTCTCCAGGTTTCTCAGTCGATGCTGTTTCATAAGGTCACAAGATGTTCACTGAAACACCCATTTCAAACAGAATTTACTTTTTAATGCTGAAACCTATTGCCCTCTCTCTGTTAAAAGTTAACTTGCTGTTGAACATTTAGTCAAAAGAACCACTGAAGCACGTATGTTGCCTTTTTACTCAGTCAGCAGAACCAGCAATGTAACATCATCACAACGTAATTACCTCTCAGTTCTTTATTTACCAAGAAAACATTTTAAAAAATAAAAAAGGCTGAACAATTTCTTCTTGTATTTATCTGTGAAACTGTCATGACATCAAGAAAACCTGCAAGAAGGAAAAAAAGTAAAAAGGTTCTGTTTACTTGGCTAGCATGTAATGTATAAATCTATTTTGATTCAACATGCAATAGTGTAATTGTACCACTACAGGCAGGTTTATTGAGCCTCGTTATTTCCTTTTCTGTGCATCACATTGTATTTTCTTGGTACAGATATTTGCATTCTTTAGCTACATCATGAAAGAAGATGGTTTAATCCTTTTGAGCACTAAATTGGCTTTTTATCCAGGAGGAACTCTGCTACCACAAGTACAGTGGAGAAGTCTGCAGTCACTAGGAAATGCATAAGCTCAGCAGCAAAACCAGGGGCACACAAAGCTGGAGAGCATCTGCTCCAAGGCTTCTCTTTTTTGTAAAATGTAAGATTTTCAGTTTTCAACTTTCTTTCAAATACAGCAGAACTTTCCATCATTTCAAAATAGTCAAACTCAGCCTCAGGCAACAACAATTAAAAAGAAGCTGTTATATTACCACATCACTCATTTAATTTTTACATATTTTTTCAAAATACAAGTATTATATCAGTTTTTATTATACAGGGAGTACAGATACAAAATTACATCAATAACTTATCATAAGTAATTAGTGAATCTTAATTCTAAGCAGCAAGTAGTATTTGCCTAAAACATCCTATCCTACCACCAAGTTTTCATTTATGGCAGTGATTTTGAGCTAGATTTTGTTAAAACATTGCATCTGGTTATACCATTCTTTAAATAGTTTCAAAATTTACATTTACTTTCAGTAGCATTGCTCTTCATGTCAACAAAACTCTTAATATGCACACATAATCCTTGAAGACAGAAGAGAGACCCTACAGAGAGAGACCAATGGTAAGGACAATCTTCCATCAGAGCCAGACAAGCTTCCTAATTCTGTTCACCAGCAGGCAATAGTAACATGAATCAGAATCCCATGCAGTTATAGGGAGGGACAGAGAAGGTGCAAAATCTTTAGTCAGTACTTCTGTTGAAAACTGGCTTCTCATTTCCTAGACCTATATGAGTTTCTGAGAAAATTATCCCATACTGTTTCTTCTTGTATTCTTGTTTCAAGTCATTGTCTGAGTTTGGAGTTTGAAATATGGACAAGGCTGAGTACTGCCAAAAAGAGAAGCCTCACTTCTCGTCTTCCTTGTCTCCAGCTGTGCATGCCTGCTGCTTTTGTAGTGCAGGATTGAGTGATCGTGCAGCCACAGGGCGTGTCACTGGCAAATGCAACCACGAGTGCTTCTGCATACAGAAATAACAACCATCAAAGAACATTTTTTCATCACAAGAGCACTCTTGAACCTACTCACTCTTCACCAAAGCAGTAGGGAACACACCTAATGGAAGCAGTCTGCCAGTACATCAGCTCAGCCGTAGCATCAAATTGCCTCTCAAGTAATCTACTGTGGTGAGCTCCATCAAATATGAGCTAGTTAACCTGTGGGCATTTCCCTAAATGAACACTCAGCAGTCCCAGCTAATGCGTGCTGAGTTAGTTTTTACTTACAGGACAACTTTACGGAGGAGTAGAATTTCAAGGGAGTTACTAGGCAGGGAAATGCATGGCACACTCCATATTTTGGTCCACTGACAGCATACAGCTGTTAAACTAGGAAGAAGAAAGAACAGGTAATTGGGAAAAACCTAGCTAAAGTGAGGGTGGATATCCCAGGGAGACCAAATCTATGCTTAGTATTGACTTAAGGAAGATGATGCACTGCATCAAAGTATTTGTGAGTGCACTTGATTTAGAAATTAACAAAAGGAAAGGAGCAATAGGAAGAAAGGATTTTATTTTAATACATGGAATAAAGCAGGTCTATATTATGTGTTTTTCACAGTCTTATCTAGAAAAAAATCTTAGTGTTAAATTAGTCTGAATTATTTTATGTGTTCCTCTGTTTCACCTCAACTGGCGTGGCATTTTCTCATTGAAGTATGATTAAGTGACTGAAAGGAAATAGCATAATGAAAACTATAGATGCAGTAGCTATAGACCTAGGCGTTATGTCCACATTTAATATCCTCAAATGACATCTGTAATATCATCATGTGCAATTCAGCTAAATTCTGAAGAGTACATTACTTTTGGTAACATGCATGGACTTTTTTTGGACAAAATAATATATGTGTAAAGGAGAGAACTAGCTAGCCCTTGTCTCTGCCACACAAATCTGCTAGGCTATGCCCCTCCCAAAGCACAAACAACTTCCCTAATTTAATCAGAGCTCTGAATCATTATGGTACTGAAATGAGACCTACAGCTCTCCTTTAAATCATATTGCAACTAAAAGTTTTTTTCAGTTAGGAACAAATCTATTGAATATTTTTTTAATCTTACCATCTTTGACAACAATCTGTTACGCCAGTTTAGACCTTTTTTAAAGGGTAGATTCCACTAGATCTTTTCTTAGTTACTCCAAACTAAATATTGGGTTTGATGCGCACATACTGACACAATAAAGCGTAGAATCACTGAGTAGAACATAACACCCCCTCCCTATGAAAAAAAGTTTACACCTACTTTGAAATTAAATCTTATTAAAAGTAAGTTTTATTCTTAAACAGTAAGAGTAACAATAGCAATAGCAGAAAGAACACTTTGCTACCTCTGGGCGAACAAAATAGTCTGTACAAAATTTTTCATTTATTTAAAAGATGCGATACTATGCACTGCTGCATTGTTTAATGGTATTTTGAAGCTTATTTCTATCAATAGGTACATTCTTTACTAAGAGAACCTTCTTCTCTTCAGTGTCTCCTGCACCTTATTCAGTCTTTTTATAATCTTCCATCAGAAAACAAAGAAGGAAGTTAACTCCCTGCTCTGTGAGCACAAGCATTATAAGAAACTATCAGGAAAATTATGTTAAGGATGGCAACTGGTTAAGGACTTCCAAACTTAATCACAACACTAGTGCCCCAACTTTTTTGTTCACCTTGCAATCTGTTGATAATCCTACTTTTATTTGCAAACTTACTGCAGGGAGTAATTTTTTGTAAATCAAAGCCACATTCAGGCAAAGTTTACAGCTTAAGTAAAATGTACATTAATGCAAGAAGACTTCAAATTTTAATGACAGAACTTACAGCATGAAGCAATGAAAGCAATCTTCAGCATCATTGCTAACAGTTTCTCTCACTCAGCTTTTGAGCGCACAGTAGCAGAGCAGTAGGATTCACGTTGTAAGAAATACCATTTAAGGAGAACAGCTACTCAGAGGTAGCTAGCTGAAAACTGGAATGAACAACTGAAGTTGTTAAATAGATGTCTGAGAAGGAAACTTGCCCTGCTGCTGGATTATTATTCTTTTTTTTTTTAATTTAACAACAACAAAATGTCACAGATTTAGTGCTCCTCAAAGCCTAGGGCAAACACATCCGTGCATTTTGCCGTTCAAAGTGTGCTCTTAAGAAAGCCAGGTCTCTGTTGCTGTAGTTCCCTCCCTCTAGCAGGACTCATTTGCTGCTCAGATGACAGATGGTCTTCCTCCTTTCCCTGATCTTTAAGTAAGCAAGAATTAGAACTCCTTACTTTCCCAGCTATCCTCAGTATCTAATTGTTATTAGGTGGCAATCTGTTCCTGAGTATAATATGGCTAACTTTATGGCTGTGTTATGTAGGTAATTAACACACCAAAACAGAAAAAACATAGTAGAGGAAAGGTAATAAAAACATGGACAGAAGAAGGATCCATGTCACGAGCTAGAAGAAACTGAAATCACCAGAAAAGCACATTAAAATGCCTTGGATCTTCACAATCTTCCACTATGTCATTCTGTTCAAATTAATCCAACACAGGGTCAAGTCCATGAAACAAAGTAACCTGAAACCCAGCTCTCTGAATACACTGTCTTTGTGATTTGAAGATAAAGAAATCTAAACATCTTGAAATCTAAACCCATAGCTTAACAAAAAGATAATCTACACATGGCATGTAAAATTAATTAAAATTGTTTTTAAAAGTTTCTGGATGGACTGAACAATATGATGATGCCTCACTAAAACCAAATATATTCTCAGAAGCCAAACAGCCCTGCACTTGTTCCTGGTCCCTTATAGACCACTGTCTCATTTGAAATAGCTGTAAGTTATCACACTGCCTTTTTAGTGCACAGGAGATGGAAAATGGCAATGATGAGTTTAGAACTAATGCTCACCATTTATACTTAAAATTTATATTACATTTGACTAGTCACATTGGGAAACAAACATAAAATACATAAATGACTCACATCAGCTGGTCTCAAAAATTGTTTAAAAACACCCTAGACTGCACAAATAGAATTATATGGAAATCACTGACTTCACTAATAGGTTAGTTTCTGAAATGATAAAAATATTTT